ATTGTATACAAATTAATAAATTAAGTTGTTTTCATGAATTCAATTAATTAGATATGTTTTTGATTAAACCATTCAAATGGAATACAGAAAAATTAAAATGGAAAGCGCAGAATTTGGGCCCTAAGAATGTAATTTTTATTAAACTTTTAATGGGCCTAAACTGCTGTTAAACAAGTTTCATGATTTTAATTAATTATACATGTTTTTTGTTCAAATTTAATATAATCATCCAGAAAAATTTAAACGAAAAAAAAAACTGAATACAAAATTTTTTTAACGAAAACAATTTAACTTAGGCTAATTTGGGAAAAAGAAAACGGATTTCATAGGGCCCTACAGATATCATGCATCTGAAGCTATCATTTTAATACTAAGCAACAGTGCATATTATATAGGGCCTATTTTAATTTTTTTAAATGGCGCTCACTCGTTTTTGTGAAAGACCCAAGAAGGACCATGCACAGTCCCTTTCCACACAGGCACACTTCATGTTTGGTTGAAATAATCCTTAAGCATGTAAATTTATAATTTCCTTCAGTTTAATTTAAATGTGCAATTAAAATAAATAAAAAATAAATGTATATTTTAAAGTTTAGAATTATACAGCCTTGAGTTGTTAGGTTTAGGGTTAGGGTTAGTGAGTTAGGGTTAGGGTTAGGGTTAGGGTTAGCTAATAAGTGAGTACTTCTCCTTTGCCGAGATAATCCATCCACCTCACAGGTGTGGCATATCAAGATGCTGATTAGACAGAATGATTATTGCACAGGTGTGCCTTAGGCTGGCCACAATAAAAGGCCACTCTAAAATGTGCAGTTTCACTGTATTGGGGGGTCCGAAAACCAGTCAGTATCTGGTGTGACCACCATTTGCCTCACGCAGTGCAACACATCTCCTTCGCATAGAGTTGATCAGGTTGTTGATTGTGGCCTGTGGAATGTTGGTCCACTCCTCTTCAATGGATGTGCAAAGTTGCTGGATATTGGCAGGAACTGGAACACGCTGTCGTATACGCCGATCCAGAGCATCCCAAACATGCTCAGTGGGTGACATGTCCGGTGAGTATGCAGGCCATGCAAGAACTGGGATGTTTTCAGCTTCCAGGAATTGTGTACAGATCCTTGCAACATGGGGCCATGCATTATCATGCTGCATCATGAGGTGATGGTCGTGGATGAATGGCACAACAATGGGCCTCAGGATCCCGTCACGGTATCTCTGTGCATTCAAAATGCCATCAATAAAATGCACCTGTGTTCGTTGTCCATAACATATACCTGCCCAGTTGGGCAGGTATATGTTATGGACAACGAACACAGGTTATATAACAGGTTATATATGTTATTGTGCTCACCCACACAACGCCAGTCTGCCGTCTGCCCTGTACAGTGAAATCTGTATCGCTGTCTGTCATCTGCACTGTCCAGACCCTACCCGGATCCGCTAATAAAGCGGTTCATCCGGCCTGGATCCGATCCGGACCCGTTGATAAAGAAACGGATCCAAACCGGATCAGATCAGGACCCGTTCATTTAGTGGGTCTATACCTTATTTGAAATGGGTAATCTGGCCAAAACTAGCTATGGAAATACCTAAAATAGAGCCAACAAACATTATATAGACTAGACTGCTCTATAAAAGTGTAATATGTCTCCCTTTATTAATATTAATAAACCATAAAATCATTCAAAAACATCTAAACTTTCCTTGGCCAGTAATAATGAAACACTCTATAAAAAGTAGGTAATTACATGAAGAAAAGTAAAAAAATAAAATGCAACCACAAATTGTACAAAAACATTGTTTTATTTAATGAAAAACTTTACCTCTAAAAAGACAATTCAGTTCAATAACTTTGTAAAGTTAATATTTTCGAATGAATTAGTTCAATTCAGCCATAAGGAATTTTATTGCACACAAACGTTTCATTATTCACTTTGTGTCAGCTTGATGTTGATTTAATCAAATTAAATATCAGTGAAAATGTTGCAAAATTAATGCATTATGAAACAAAGTCTTGGCGATAAAGCAGCTCTGCAGAAAACAGTGATATCATAATCCAGCTCAATTCAGTTCAAGTCTTGTCATTATGCAATAGTGTCAGTACAATCAAATCAATATTATTCTTGAATATTCAGTGTCTTTTAAACCCCAGCTAACCAAGCCAGAGGTGGCAGTGGAACCCAAACTCCAGCAGGGGACTGAAACGAAGAAAAAACAGCTTGGGAGAAACCAGGAGCAGTCAGCTCAGCTCTCCTCTGGTTAAATGAACGGACGACTGGATTAACAGTGACTATAAGCAGGATAAAACTGCATTGTGGTCCTAGCAGCTCCTGGCCTGACACGTTCATTGCTGGCCATAGCGGTCTGTGCTGAGGACTTGTCTGTTTCTCATGGTCTTTGCTGCGGATCTGTGTCAGTGTCTGATGTCAGTCCAGTCATGATGTTCAATTGCCGTGGTCTTCACTGACATTCAGGGCTGCATTTTGGTCGTCTCAGGGTGCAGGTCCATCATCTGATCTGGATACGGACCGGATCCGGGTGACTATGATAACCTTAGGACAAGAGTGCGACAAAAACATTGAAATAAGTAACAAGTATCGGTGTTGACTTTTTCTCACAGCACCTGTAATCACACAAGTACATTTTCATACAAAATTTCATGACATCTCATAGCAAAGATTACTGTTAAATGTAGGATGTAAAAGTAGGTTATTACACATTTAAAAGTATCATTGTCAGTATTTGACAAACTAGTTGACTAAATCAAGTTGAAAACTCTTTTTAAAAAATTACTCTTTTAAAAAGTAATTTAATCTTACTTTTAAAGATGAAGTAGAATATCGAAGGATGAAGTAGAATCAAAAACCAGACTGGAGCACTTGAATGACGGTGAAGCTGCAACAGAACACACATACACATACACACACACACACACACACACACAGTAT